GATTTCACCAAAGACTCTGTGTACTTCAGATCCTTTGAGTATTTGATTGTTTGACATACTGCTGGTGTAATAAAACTGACATTTTTGATAAATTTATTTTCCATCAATATATCAAAGTAAAGTTTTATACTGTCATCTAGAATCCAACCATTTCCAAGAAGCGACATACATGGTTCTAACTTTGCATCAGTAGGATTGTCCTTTCCTTTGATTTCATTTTTTTGGGCACAATAATCCTTTTCTAAGAGTTTTTCTGTGGCTTGATTAGGATGATCATCTGCAGGTGAGGCTGTCATGAGTTCACATTGTACCGAGCAATCTATCCTTTGAAGAGCATAGTTTGGAATAGGGAATATCTCTTTTGTAAACTCCATCAGCCGGGTGTCAGACTCGATAGAGTGGTCAAGTACACGTTGGAGACGGTTTTCAAGAGTCAAATTATGTTCCTTTAGCCGTTTATTTTCTTCTTCAAGATATAAGTATGAGGGAAGTATCATTTCTTCTGAGTTAAAAGATAAATTTGAAGACGATTCCAAAGAGGAGGGGGAAGGGTGGTCAGGGGTTTGTGGTGTGGAAACCTCAGAAATACTATGTGTATCCTCTGAGTCCTCTGATGACTGGGAGGAAGACTGTTTATTTGTTACCTTTGGAGATAGCATTGACCTCATAGTAACAGGGTGAGGTCCAGTATGTTTTTCATTAGTTGTTGTTATGATAGATTTGGTCGAATCTGTCTTTATTACTGCTTTACAATTTCTACCAAGACAGCGCCATGTTACTTCTCCACTCTTAGCTACATAATTCTCTCTATACTTATAATTATTGTAGATAATATTGGGTTTTCCATTTTTAGTTTGCTCAATTTTAAATTCCATATTTATTTTATGTAAATCTTTACTTATTCAAAGTAAAATATTCAAACATGGGTTGCCAATTTTAGCTAATAGTAACAGCTCCTTCAAAATACGAAAGGCAATCTCAATGCAGTTATGAGTATTAATGAGAGTATAAATTAAATCAATGGTTCTTTTAGAGAACAGAACAGCTTCATAGCAACTAAAAATGACAGGCACTCTGTTTGTTTGCAGACCAATTTGAAACTGTCAGTGCTTGCAGACGACTTTATGTCAGAAACAGGATCTAACATAACACTATTCTTGGACCCAAAAACCTTTTCAGTTTGGAGCTATTAGTTTTTGTTTTATTAAACAAAAACTACAATGCGTTTAGTAGAAATGGTTTAGTATTTGTTTTAAAAGCCATCTTGTGTTTACCAGCGCATCGTGCGGCAAGGGGCGGCCCGGAATAGTCAGGAACGGGTATACCCTCGGGGACAGCGCCCCTACCCCAGTTCCCCAAGGCCCAACCTCCGTTTTCCCAGCACCGGATACCTGACGTGCCAGGGGTCACCCGTCACAATGTAGAGCCCGACCTCTACATCCATGCCGCACTCCCTGACCAAGGACCGAAGTGGCTGGCTTCTCACGACTCACTGAGAATACCCATCGGCAGTGAAGAGCACACATTAACCCCTGCAAACACAACAGGGGCACTCCCAGGGACTCCCAGTGAGAGCGTCCGTCACCCTTTTAGTCGCCTCTTACGAACAAGCCCGGGAAGGCTGCGGTTCTATTCTAACCCCGAAACCGCAGGGGGGATACCTGATATAGAATACTCTTTGTACAACTTTTCATAATAAATGAATAACCCAATCAACTATTTAAATAATCCTTACAGTTTGGTTAAACATAGCATATCATCATTTATATATATATTTATTTATTTATTAATTTAGGTGTTCACTTAATAGGGCTGCTGATATATTAAATATTTAAGTAAATAAGTACAACTGAGCACCCTGTATATTATATTTTATAAAATATAATATACAGGGTGCTCAGTTGTACTTATTTACTTAAATATTTAATTTATTTATTTATATAAATAAAATTTTTATAACTTTTTATGCCACCTAATATTTTTTTCATAGTTTTTTATTTCACTATTTGTTCTTGTGATTCCATTTAGCTCATATTTTCACCCATCTTCTTTCATTTATTTATTTTTTCTATTTGATCAAATAGAATTAGATTAAAAGGTTAATTTAATTTATTCAGTTCATTTCACATTTATGTTTTTATTCTCCATTAAATATTTGTGTACAATTTTTGTAAATACTTTGTCAGAATAAATATATAATTCATTCATTCATAATAAATATAATTCAGCCGTGGTTGCTGCGGGGGACCTGAGCCCTCGCCAATACGGCTTCAGGAAGGGGTGATCAACAGTCGACGCTATTGAGGAGGTGAAGGAAGCCGTGATGAGAGCTGAGGATTTTAATCACTACTCTCGTAGGGTTGTGCTGCTCGTTACACTTGATGTGCGAAACGCATTTAATTCTGCAAGATGGTGCGATATGCTGGACGCTCTGGAGAACACCTTCCACGTCCTGGCATACCTCATGCGCATTATAGAGGATTACCTCCGGTTCCGCATCCTCATGTATGATACAGAAGGCCCGCGGACGATGAGTGTCACTTCTGGTGCTGCCCAAGGTTTTATACTCGGCCCGGACCTCTGGAACGTTGCCTACGACGGCCTCCTTAGGTCTGAAATGCCTGAAGAAACCGTTTTAGTTGGGTACGCAGATGACATTGCGGCTTTAATAGCTGCTCATAGTGTTGAGCTGGCCCAGCTAAAATTAAACCGAGTCATGCGAACTATAAACGCATGGATGGCAGATCACGGACTCTCACTCGCGCTGAACAAAACTGAGATCGTGATTCTGACCAAAAAGCGGATTGACACCTATGTGCCGTTGAGGGTGGGGGACGTCGAAGTCCAATCCGTCCGCGCCGCCAAGTATCTTGGTGTCATGGTGGACTCTAAGCTTAGCTGGCGGGACCAGATATTCCGAACGGCGGACAAGGCCGCTAAGGTGATTTCTTCTCTTAGCCGGTTAATGGCCAATGTCGGAGGTCCTCGTTCCAGTCGTAGAAGGCTGTTGATGTCTACTGTTCAGTCTCTGCTCCTGTATGGTGCGGAAATGTGGGCTGACGCGCTCAATAAGGAGGTGTATAGGATGCGGCTTGCCAGAGTGCAGCGTCAGGCAGCACTCAGGGTAGAATCCGCCTACCGAACAGTGTCTGAACCTGCCATCTTGGTGGTTGCTGGAGTAATCCCCGTCAAACTTTTGGCGGCGGAGAGGAAAGCGATTTATCTGCGGCGTGGAGAGGACCATGCAAAAACGGAGGAGCGTAACCGCACCCACCAGCTCTGGCAGGAGAGCTGGGAACAGGAGTCGCAGGGACGCTGGACCAGGAGACTGATTCGGCAAGTCCAACCATGGGTTGACCGACGGTATGGTGAGGTGGGCTATTACCTTACCCAGTTTCTGACAGGTCACGGTTTTTTCGGTCGTACCTGTTCAGGATGGGCAAAGCCGTGTCACCGGATTGCATCTACTGCCCAGGCACTCCCGACGATGCAGAGCACACCTTCTTCCGCTGCCAGGGTTGGGAAGGTTCCTGCCTGGAGGCTGAACAACATGTAGGGCAGTTGTCTGTGGACACGGTCATTCCGATGATGACGGAGGGTGAGGACAATTGGACCTCTATGTCACATTTCGCCCAGGGTATTCTCCGCACAAAGAAGCTAGAGCTTGACCGAGATGCAGTCTAGGTCATAAAGAAATTGAATGCCACAAACGGCGCGAGCCCTGAGGGCCTAGGTCACACGTTGACCTGACCTGAAGTAATGTGACAAACAATCCCAGGTCTGTGTCCAACAGAGTAGAGGGGGTTTTTTAGTGAGTAGTCTGACAAGCTCAGAAGTCTCACACTATACAGGCTGGCTACCTGTGTGCATAAAAGCATTTTTACCTCCTCTCCCTTAAAAAAAAAGATTGAAAAATGAGGATTGAATGATGACTGAAAAAAAATCAAAAATGAAACATATTTTAAAACACTCTAAAATTACATTTGACACAAAATGCTCTTTATAAATTTTAAGTTTTCTGGGCTAAGCAATAACAGCATTGACTTGAAATGTTTTAGGCCTATTGCTGTTTCACTGAAGTATATTTTTGTTCTCACTGAAATACATTTTTGTTTTATTCCTACAAGAGAGATGACTGTATTATTTTGTTGTTTCGTTCTTGTGTATTGTATTTGTCTTTTATTTGTGTTTATATATTATGTAATGATGAATTTGACACCATTCTTGTATATACTCTATATAGCCTACTAATGAATGAAGATGTTTTGAATTGAATTGAATTGAGAGAGAAGATGTAAAATGTTAATGCTTCAAACTTCAACTAATCAGCTGTTAAGACCAATTTAATCGTTGATAATGAGTGGTGCAATCATAGTGGTTGATACAATGAGTCGTTGCATCACTGTCAGTGGCAATGAGAGGTTATAAACAAAAACATAACCTCTCTTAGAAGTTATGAGTACTGTAGTGATTGTTACTAAAAACCGGTTGTGGCTAAAGCAGTGTACCAACTCGTGTAACGACACTATCTTTATGTGATCATTGCGTAAACTACTACATTATGAGACCATCCTAATTTTGACTATATTTTTAACAGAATGAGATGAAGTAATAAAAAGAGAAGAGTAGGTTTACATCAGCACTGCATGGTTTACAACTGGTTTCGGCTGAACTCAAGCATGAATCATCTGAGTGGCAAGCAGTGGACTTGGAACCATGAGCTTACCGAAGCTCACCGCTCAGACGTACCGTGGCCATCCTCAACAAAAATGCAACTATATATGAGGCCCGATGTCAGAACGGTGCTGCTCGTATCCCCGAGGCCTAATGAGTTTAAAATGAAGTAAAATACTCTGTATAGCTTTGTTACTTACTCTGCTAATTGTTCAAATTAGCCTGCTCCATTTAATAAAAGTGCAATGTTCAGGGTCCAATAATGTTGTAAACATGAAAGATTATGCTAGCAATTAAAATAATATGCTAATAATGCTAATAATTACCTCGTCTTCCATGTCTCTAACATGTTTCAAGGCTTCTTGTTCTGCCAGCAAACAGGCCTCCAACAGCCAGAACAATTCCATCTTCTTGTGAGGAGGGGCTGCTGTGTCCACCTGCAAAATGTTACACCAATAACACAATACTTATAACAATTTATATTGTACTAGCAGAGTACCCGTCCTTCGTACGGGGTTGGCATATAGGTGCTTAGGTATGTGCTTATTGCAGTTAGTCTCAAGTTTGCATTTTTAATGAGGAAGGACTCAGTTTGATAAAATTTGGTTCTTTAAATTTATGGTATGCTATAGTATAACACGTCTACCAAAGCCATAATGTTCTACCACTGCAACTAAACAATAGAAAGAAATAAATCACCAAACATTCGCACAATATCACAAATTATTCATTAAATTAAAAACATAATAATCCTACTTTGACAGTTCTCATTGTTTATCAAAAACAAGCAACAAGCGGGGAGCGAGCTGGCGTAGTCGTTAGAGCGCGGGACTTCAGTCCCTGAGGTCCCGGGTTCGATCCCCACCAAGTCACTAATGGATTTTAGCCAAGTGATAGTGATAATGCCGCAACCCCTAGGTCTAGCCTGAAGTAATGTGAAAAACAATTCCAGGCTCGTGCCTAGCGTCCTAGGAAAAAAAAATTGTTTATCAAAGCTTTTTGTTGCTGCTTTAGTTCAAATTAGCTGTTGTCATAAATGCAAAAAGAATAATAGTGCTGCATCCGGTTGGTAAACCTTATAATTTTTTAATGTTTTTGATATTATAAAACCAACTTGTTAAACCCTTTACTTGGCGTTGTATCCGTTTGGAAACACAAAACAGTTTTATATATAAACATTGTTATTTTACCCTAACCAACAAATATTTTATACTATGGTTAACTAGGGATGTCTTACTCTATGCCAAAAAATGCTTCTGGGGTGGGAAAAAGGAGGGAAAGCCAGTCCGACCGTTATCCAATGTCCCTGTCATCTAGACTGCTGCCTAGCGACTGCTCAGATTGTTCACAGTTTTAGCGAAGATTATTTGTTTTTCAAGAGGATATTTCTCCAATGATCATATTGTATATCGTTTGAAAAAGGTAAGGACGCATCTAAATATCAGTAAATTGTCTGTATTATATTTTTATCAGCGGAAATGTGGATGTATCCATATGTACACACTGCCAAGTTGTCATAGTTTCTAAGCATAATGTGCCGGGTATCCATTGGGACACATTGCCAAGTACCTTATAATATTCCAACTATGATACTTTGTATCCAGTTGGTGATATTGCCATTATTTGAATTTATTTTAGAGATATGGACATAGAGTACATAACACAAAGCTAGTTAGGTACCTAGTGATATCAACCTATATATATATATTAGTGATGGTCGGATCCGGATATCGGACTACCGGATCCGCCGGATCCAAGCTAGAACCGGCACCGGATCGGATCCAAAAAATTCCGGATCTTGGGATAGATCCGGTTTTGATGGATCCGATTTTTCAAATTTTTTCCCGATTTTTTTCCAACACAAAGCAGTCTGTATCACTGTACAACCCCGATTATTTTACTAACACAAAGCTGTCTGTATCACTGTACAACCCCGATTTGTTTACTAAAATAAAGCTGTCTGTATCACTGTACAACCCCGATTTGTTTACTAACATATAGCTGTCTGTATCACTGTACAACCCCGATTTGTTTACTAAAATAAAGCTGTCTGTATCACTGTACAACCCCGATTTGTTTACTAACATATAGCTGTCTGTATCACTGTATAACCCCGATTTTTTTACTAACACAAAGCTGTCTGTATCCATGTACAAGACCGTTTTTCCCCCGAGTGTTTGTCTCTTGATGCAAACAACTTATATGGCTAGGCCATGTCTCAATGTTTGTCTCTAGATGCAAATAACTTACATGGCAAGGCCATGACTCAGTGTTTGTCTCTAGATGCAAATAACTTATATGGCAAGGCCATGTCTCAATGTTTGTCTCTAGATGCAAATAACTTATATGGCAAGGCCATGACTCAGTGTTTGTCTCTAGATGCAAATAACTTATATGGCTAGGCCATGTCTCAATGTTTGCCTCAGATGCAAATAACTTATATGGCTAGGCCATGTCTCGATGTTTGTCTCTAGATGCAAATAACTTATATGGCTAGGCCATGTCTCGATGTTTGTCTCTAGATGCAAATAACTTATATGGCTAGGCCATGTTTCGATGTTTGCCTCAGATGCAAATAACTTATATGGCTAGGCCATGTCTCGATGTTTGTCTCTAGATGCAAATAACTTATATGGCTAGGCCATGTCTCGATGTTTGTCTCTAGATGCAAATAACTTATATGGCAAGGCCATGACTCAGTGTTTGTCTCTAGATGCAAATAACTTATATGGCTAGGCCATGTCTCGATGTTTGTCTCTAGATGCAAATAACTTATATGGCTAGGCCATTTCTCGATGTTTGTCTCAGATGCAAATAGCTTATATGGCTAGGCCATGTCTCGATGTTTGTCTCTAGATGCAAATAACTTATATGGCTAGGCCTTGTCTTGATGTTTGTCTCTAGATGCAAATAACTTGTATGGGAAGGCCATGTCTCGATGTTTGTCTCAGATGCAAATAACTTATATGGCAAGGCCATGTCTCGATGTTTGTCTCAGATGCAAATAACTTATATGGCTAGGCCATGTCTCGATGTTTGTCTCTAGATGCAAATAACTTATATGGCTAGGCCATGTCTCGATGTTTTAGATGCAAATAACTTAAATGGCAAGGCCATGACTCAGTGTTTGTCTCTTGATGTAAATAACTTATATGGCAAGGCCATGTCTCAGTGTATAAGATATATTAACCTTTAAACATTACCGATTTAATTTTAAACAGTATGATTTAAATTGGCATTCTGTTAATTATGTTTTTTTTTACCCGCCCGTATGACAGTGTGTATCTGGATCCGGATCCGAAGATCTGGATCCGAATTTTTCAAGATCCGGATCCGGATCTGGTACCGACATTTTCTTGGATCCGCTCATCACTAATATATATATATAAAAGTTGTAGTCATAAAAATATTTTATTATATATTCAAAGCAGCTCTTACATTTGTTTTTTTTTCAGATTATGGCGGAACGTCTTGCTGATAAAATTCTTGGAAAATTATCAAACAGACCTAAACCAAGTAGGCCTACAACTTCAGGTTTGGGATGCGGAATAGGGAGGAAAAAGGCGAATGTTACTAATCGATTTTCAAGATCCAAAACAATACTCGCCCTTCTTCCTCCAGCTGACTCAGGATCAAGTGGATCGGAAGATGAGGAGGCAGAAGTATTACAAAAACGAGTTACTGCAAATACTAATTTTTTGTGTGTGGATGTGGATTTTTTTAAAGTGCCGATGGCATTTTGCAGTCAGTCTTTACACGAGGCAGGCAAACTTTTTTTTTAGAAAATGGCTCTAAGGTTTAATGATAGTTTTATATTACATTATTAAAAATGTAGGTAATAATTTTAAAAATTTATATATTACTATGCAACCCTTTAAATGAGTGTTCTCAAATGTTGCACCTACACTCACAAACTCTGAACTCTGATGGACCTTAAGGACATAACTAACCAGGAAGTGGCGACAATTAGTGTTGGCCGTGAAGTGCTCAGAGACATGTAGGCCTAATGGAAGAATTTAAGGAAATTATTATTCCCTGCGTGAATGAAAGTGGACTCCACCTGACTGGCATTGTTTTCATTTCCTACAAGTAAAGGGCATCTGACAAGTGTAGGAAACTAAGTTTAGTAAATAATGTAGGCTATTTCTCAAGTGCAGGGCCACTTTAGTTATCAGATTTTCAAACGCAAAAAAAAAACACCTTTGCTGCTACAAACCTGCTGACTAAGTCAATTTTCTTTTGCCTGATTTGATTTTCACTGAAACATTCCCTTAAAAATGTGAGATTTATTTCCAATTTAAATAACATGAATTTTAATGATAACTTAGGTTTCAGGGAAGGTAATTAAGTGTAATTTTTGTCACATCTATAACTATAATAACTAATATTGGCAATTAATAATGTAATGTATAACTCAATTTAAATGTTAAATGTGTACAAAAACCTCTGTTACATAATATGAACATAGTATAAATTTTGTCAAAATTTAATTTTGTTTCAATTTAGTTTTTTTCCCGGGTGTAATGGGGGGGGGGGGGCCTTTAGCCACTATAGCCCCCCCTCCTTGGAAATGTCACTGGGTTTCTTTTGAAAAATCAGTACCAAGCTAAAAAAAAAAAAAATACGTTCAGTACTCATGTTTGCAACTTTTTCAAAGGTTTTGAGTTTCTCAGAGAATTTTGGAAATACGGCAATTAAAATACATAGTACTGTATTGATAGAAATCAAACTAATGCACCAATGCACCAACGTTTGGCTAAGCATGCAAAGAGAGACATACCACATATCCTGAGGTGAGTTTGCTGTTAAATTTAAGCTTGTCTCCTTGCTCAACAACGGGTGGTTTGATAAAGTGTCTGGTGCCCGCTGTGATCTTGCCCTCAGCATAATGGTAGTTGAGGTTGATTTCATCATTTACTATATCAAATTCTCTTCTTGCAATGTCCTTATCAGCAATAATATCCAAATTTCTGTTGAAATTTTCAATTATTTTCTAAAAAAAAAATAAAGAATAAGAATAATACTCTATACAGATTAAAAAACTGGCTTCATTCATTTAGTAAGCAACATTAAATTATTAACTAAGCCTAATAACTTATCCTGCATTATGTTTCAAGAGAAGTTAAGACATCATTATTTGTGTGTTTATTGTATGGGTATGTCTTACCGTATGTTTTGTAACCCCAACAATGCCTGTGGTGATGGTGTTTTGCATAAGGCGAAACACCTGATATAAAAATTTTGATTACTTGACCATAATTATTGTACCATAATTATTAATCATAATTACAACAGAGAAAATATAGTTATCAAACAGTCTAACTACTCATTTCTTTAACTTGTTCAAATTACACTTATATGATAATATAAACACACTTACAGTAACAGTTCTCCTAATTATTCCATCAGTGGTTGACCATTTATTCAAAACCTTGGTTCTAGCATCAAAAGAGACATGTCTGTGGTACAAACGGTCATCCCTGTCCTCAAAATGCTCCTCCATATAAAACGGTGTCAGCTCCAACCGACGCAAGCTATCGTAGCGCACTTGGTGATAAAACTCCATTTCTCGTTTTCCATCTTCTGGATACCTTGTTTGTCCTGGAAGGGTTAAAAATATTGAAAATCGTTTAATATAAGTTAGATTATTTATTTTCTTCAATTCAACCAAAGAACATCACAAAAACACTTTTGTCTGGTCCTCCCTCCAGTACATTTGAAACAATTTGCCTCAATAATCAGGCTTGATACTTAGGTATGAGGGTTTTTAGATGTTCCTAATACATCTGTGGCCAGTGCTGTGCAGCAGTGGTAGGTGATTCTGAATTATTGTATCTCATGAGTGATTCACCATTTCACAAGATGGCTGGTAGTCAAATAACAGTCAACCAAAACTTCTTGTTCCAAAATTGTACACTCTGATTGGGGGTCAAATGATAACTTTAAAATATAACCATAAAAAAAATGTTGTTATGATTTGCCTACAGAGAGCCTTATACCAAGATGGGATTTATTACTAAGGGGACCTAAAAAGTGGAAACTCCTGCAGTAATTGGGGCAGTATACTTAAACAAGAGGTTCCAAAAGCATTATTTTTAACCCAGCTATGGAAAAAGAAACAAAAAGGATTCAAAATAATTTATTGGGGCACTAAAAACACTTAAAAAGGGCGAGGTATTACAAGAAATTAGAGCAGACGATTTTGAAAGATTAGTTAAATCAACAGAAGAAGGAAATCCAGCATGATATGCCAAACATGGAGTACAAACTCAATCCGGACGCTCACCACAAGGTAAAACGAATATCTATAATGGGAAAACTAGGTCAAGAAGAATATGGAGAAGCTGAGAACTCAAAGAGATTGTAGTCATTGGAGACAGAACGTTGGTCAGGTCAAGTAACGTTCATGAGATTGGCAGTAACTTGTTTACAAATATTTGAGTTACCAGAACTAAACCTACGGAAGCTATGACCTCCATCTCCGTCCTCTACCATTCCTCTCACTCCTTATATTTGACCTAGTCTGGTGTAAGAGTGTAGACCTATCCAAGCCAGACCAAGGAGAGAACTATTAAATTATTTTATCATACTCTTACCCACATTCACAATTGTGGTATTACATATGCAGCATATCAGTCATTTGTTGTTCAAAGGTTTATTGCGGACATTTTCCATCACGAATGTAAAAAAAACAATACACAACGTTTCGGGATCTGGAATCTGATCCCGTCTTCAGGTGAAAAAACTTAACTAACACATTACAACTAACAATACACAAACGCCCAACCTAAGTTGGAATACACTACCGAGGGTAGTAGTCAAAAAATATGCACTGTATAGCAGTCAAGTCATGATACAACATGCAATTAATAACAAATCACAAAACACTATAATCTATAAAAGGTTTACGTACAAAAAACTCACACAATGGAACACTAACAACACCGTACGCTATGACTCCACCAATGAGACTGAACCAACATGGCTGACCAATCGGAAACACGGAGACAACAGAAATGGCTTCCGGTCCCTGGAAAAGTAAAACCAACAAAATGGCGGAGCGATGTACGATGCCGCAAGATGGGTGTTAATTATGTTTATTCATATCACGAGTTTTACTACGAGTTAACATAACGTGCGAATTTTGAGGAGAACTCGTTATTTCCCTATTTATTGAACAATTAAGTTCCCTATCCTTTAGTTCCTTGTTCAAAATGGGTAGCCAAAGTGGCCTTATTTCAACCGATGACTGACTGATTGGTTGGTCTGCTAATTTAATGTATGAGGCTTCAATGAGTTTACGTTTGAAAAAATGAGGTTCCTTATGGACAATTTTTGCCTCTTCAAAATTCATACGATGATTTTCGGACCAGCAATGATGAGCGATCTTAGATTTTTCCACTAAACCTTTTTTGGTGTTTTCTCTGTGTTCTTTGATTCTAATGTTCAACGGTCTTTTTGTCTCGCCATAGTAAGGCCTGGAACAATCATTGCAATTTATTCTGTAAACACAGTTTTTAGTATCCTGAGTGTCATTTTTGGGTTTTGTTTTGACGAGACTCTGCCTAAGTGTGTTTTGTGTCCTAAATGCTGTTTGCACATTAAATTTCCTAGCAACCCTTCTGATTTTTTCCGACAGTCCTGACACATACGGGATTGACATGTGGACGAGTTTTTCCTTGCGATTTTGTAAAGGTTCACGCGTAGCCCTATCTTTCTTGCATTTGTTTATAATGGATCGAGGGTATCCGTTACTAGCCAAATCCTGTTCTACTTTCTTAATTTCATCCTTTAACTCATCCTGATTGGAGCAAATGCTCTTAGCCCTGTCAAACAGAGAGTAAGCAACCCCCTCCTTGACAGAAATTTGGTGGTTTGATTGAAAGTTTAGATACTGCCCTGTGTGTGTCTTTTTTCTGTAAACAGATGTTCTAAGACTGTTCAAATGCTTTTCTACGCACACGTCCAAAAAGGGGAGTTTGTTTTGTGATTCCACCTCCATGGTTAGTTTTATGGAGGATGAAACACTATTAAGATGCTCTAAAAACTCATTCAATTTATCATCTCCATGAGGGAAAACCACGAAAGTGTCATCGACATATCTCCACCATATCCTCGGTTTGAGCCGAGCTGAAGCCAAAGCTTTTTGCTCAAACTCCTCCATAAAGATGTTGGCAAAGATAGGTGACAATGGTGACCCCATGGCCATACCCTCATCTTGACGGTATAATTTACCCTCTAATTGGAAATAGTTACATTGAGTACACAACTCCAAAAGTTCCATTATGACGTTAACAGGGAGTTTAGTTCTGTTTGCTAAAGTATCGTCGTTTGTGAGACGGGTCTCAATTATTTTTAGGGTTTCCGAAACGGGGACATTCGTAAACAGACTTTCAACATCGAAGCTGACCAGCTTGTCAGTATCAGCCAGTACGATAGATTTAGACTTTTCTACAAAATCTTTGGAGTTTTTGATAAACGAATCAGTGTTTCCTACTAAAGGCTTTAAAATGTCCAGAAGGACTTTAGACAATTCCCTACAAGCAGAATCACGGGAGCTAACTATTGGTCTCAGAGGAACGTTAGGTTTGTGGATCTTAGGTAACCCGTACATGTGTGGAATTTTGGAATGGTGTGGTGTCAACCGAGTCCTTTGTTTGTCGCTAAAAAACTTTTTGTGTTTTCTTAGAGTACTAGCGATTTTACGCTCGAAAGTTTCTGTGGGGTCTTTTTTCAATTGGGTGTATTGGCCAGATTGCAAAGTTTCTAACATTTTTTCTTCGTATGTCACAGTATCAAGAACTACCGTGGCATTCCCTTTATCCGCGGGCAAAATCTTTACAGTACCGTCTTTCCCAAGGACTGATACTGCTTTGGTTTCCTCTTTACTAAGATTAGGTTTAGGAGTAGGAATTTTCTTTAGTAAAATACTAGCTTCACAACGGAACTGATCCCCCTGAGACTCAGGTAACTGAGAAACAGCAGACTCAATCCCTGTCACAAAATCCAGCGTTTTAACTGATTTAGGCACAACGGAAAAATTTAGCCCTCTGCTCAAAACAGAAATCTCAACTGGGTTTAGAACTTTAGAAGACAGATTCACAACTTGGTTTTTTGCATCATCACACTGTGAAATTTGAGTATTCCTATCAATGTTATCGGGAGGTCTGAGATGTTGTAGTTTAGCCTTTTGCCTAGCCTTCACATTTTCCGATTCTTTGTTGAACCTATTTTGTATGCTTTGAAAAATGTTTTGAAAATCAGAACCTATTATTAGTGCCAATTCAGCTTTTTTGTTCTCAATAGAGCTTTTCAGAAGTCTTTTTTCTAAACGGTGGTGTTCAATTCTTTCATTGATTAGAGATTTAGAAGCTAAAGACATTATTTTGCTGGCTTTGAAACTTTTGTAAGGAGGCTTTAGGTAAAAACCTTTAGGTATCAAATTTTCACGTTTGCATTTCACAAGAAAGGTCAAATGGTTTGTGTGATTAGCCAATTTTAAATGCATTTGTTCCAATTCACTTATTTGATTACTTACTCCGGGTCCGTACCGAGAATCAATTCTTTGTTTGAAGTTCATTGTTGGTGATGGTGAGTTAATGTTGTTCAAAGGTTTATTGCGGACATTTTCCATCACGAATGTAAAAAAAACAATACACAACGTTTCGGGATCTGGAATCTGATCCCGTCTTCAGGTGAAAAAACTTAACTAACACGTTACAACTAACAATACACAAACGCCCAACCTAAGTTGGAATACACTACCGAGGGTAGTAGTCAAAAAATATGCACTGTATAGCAGTCAAGTCATGATACAACATGCAATTAATAACAAATCACAAAACACTATAATCTATAAAAGGTTTACGTACAAAAAACTCACACAATGGAACACTAACAACACCGTACGCTATGACTCCACCAATGAGACTGAACCAACATGGCTGACCAATCGGAAACACGGAGACAACAGAAATGGCTTCCGGTCCCTGGAAAAGTAAAACCAACAAAATGGCGGAGCGATGTACGATGCCGCAAGATGGGTGTTAATTATGTTTATTCATATCACGAGTTTTACTACGAGTTAACATAACGTGCGAATTTTGAGGAGAACTCGTTATTTCCCTATTTATTGAACAATTAAGTTCCCTATCCTTTAGTTCCTTGTTCAAAATGGGTAGCCAAAGTGGCCTTATTTCAACCGATGACTGACTGATTGGTTGGTCTGCTAATTTAATGTATGAGGCTTCAATGAGTTTACGTTTGAAAAAATGAGGTTCCTTATGGACAATTTTTGCCTCTTCAAAATTCATACGATGATTTTCGGACCAGCAATGATGAGCGATCTTAGATTTTTCCACTAAACCTTTTTTGGTGTTTTCTCTGTGTTCTTTGATTCTAATGTTCAACGGTCTTTTTGTCTCGCCATAGTAAGGCCTGGAACAATCATTGCAATTTATTCTGTAAACACAGTTTTTAGTATCCTGAGTGTCATTTTTGGGTTTTGTTTTGACGAGACTCTGCCTAAGTGTGTTTTGTGTCCTAAATGCTGTTTGCACATTAAATTTCCTAGCAACCCTTCTGATTTTTTCCGACAGTCCTGACACATACGGGATTGACATGTGGACGAGTTTTTCCTTGCGATTTTGTAAAGGTTCACGCGTAGCCCTATCTTTCTTGCATTTGTTTATAATGGATCGAGGGTATCCGTTACTAGCCAAATCCTGTTCTACTTTCTTAATTTCATCCTTTAACTCATCCTGATTGGAGCAAATGCTCTTAGCCCTGTCAAACAGAGAGTAAGCAACCCCCTCCTTGACAGAAATTTGGTGGTTTGATTGAAAGTTTAGATACTGCCCTGTGTGTGTCTTTTTTCTGTAAACAGATGTTCTAAGACTGTTCAAATGCTTTTCTACGCACACGTCCAAAAAGGGGAGTTTGTTTTGTGATTCCACCTCCATGGTTAGTTTTATGGAGGATGAAACACTATTAAGATGCTCTAAAAACTCATTCAATTTATCATCTCCATGAGGGAAAACCACGAAAGTGTCATCGACATATCTCCACCATATCCTCGGTTTGAGCCGAGCTGAAGCCAAAGCTTTTTGCTCAAACTCCTCCATAAAGATGTTGGCAAAGATAGGTGACAATGGTGACCCCATGGCCATACCCTCATCTTGACGGTATAATTTACCCTCTAATTGGAAATAGTTACATTGAGTACACAACTCCAAAAGTTCCATTATGACGTTAACAGGGAGTTTAGTTCTGTTTGCTAAAGTATCGTCGTTTGTGAGACGGGTCTCAATTATTTTTAGGGTTTCCGAAACGGGGACATTCGTAAACAGACTTTCAACATCGAAGCTGACCAGCTTGTCAGTATCAGCCAGTACGATAGATTTAGACTTTTCTACAAAATCTTTGGAGTTTTTGATAAACGAATCAGTGTTTCCTACTAAAGGCTTTAAAATGTCCAGAAGGACTTTAGACAATTCCCTACAAGCAGAATCACGGGAGCTAACTATTGGTCTCAGAGGAACGTTAGGTTTGTGGATCTTAGGTAACCCGTACATGTGTGGAATTTTGGAATGGTGTGGTGTCAACCGAGTCCTTTGTTTGTCGCTAAAAAACTTTTTGTGTTTTCTTAGAGTACTAGCGATTTTACGCTCGAAAGTTTCTGTGGGGTCTTTTTTCAATTGGGTGTATTGGCCAGATTGCAAAGTTTCTAACATTTTTTCTTCGTATGTCACAGTATCAAGAACTACCGTGGCATTCCCTTTATCCGCGGGCAAAATCTCATCGTCAAGATGAGGGTATGGCCATGGGGTCACCATTGTCACCTATCTTTGCCAACATCTTTATGGAGGAGTTTGAGCAAAAAGCTTTGGCTTCAGCTCGGCTCAAACCGAGGATATGGTGGAGATATGTCGATGACACTTTCGTGGTTTTCCCTCATGGAGATGATAAATTGAATGAGTTTTTAGAGCATCTTAATAGTGTTTCATCCTCCATAAAACTAACCATGGAGGTGGAATCACAAAACAAACTCCCCTTTTTGGACGTGTGCGTAGAAAAGCATTTGAACAGTCTTAGAACATCTGTTTACAGAAAAAAGACACACACAGGGCAGTATCTAAACTTTCAATCAAACCACCAAATTTCTGTCAAGGAGGGGGTTGCTTACTCTCTGTTTGACAGGGCTAAGAGCATTTGCTCCAATCAGGATGAGTTAAAGGATGAAATTAAGAAAGTAGAACAGGATTTGGCTAGTAACGGATACCCTCGATCCATTATAAACAAATGCAAGAAAGATAGGGCTACGCGTGAACCTTTACAAAATCGCAAGGAAAAACTCGTCCACATGTCAATCCCGTATGTGTCAGGACTGTCGGAAAAAATCAGAAGGGTTGCTAGGAAATTTAATGTGCAAACAGCATTTAGGACACAAAACACACTTAGGCAGAGTCTCGTCAAAACAAAACCCAAAAATGACACTCAGGATACTAAAAACTGTGTTTACAGAATAAATTGCAATGATTGTTCCAGGCCTTACTATGGCGAGACAAAAAGACCGTTGAACATTAGAATCAAAGAACACAGAGAAAACACCAAAAAAGGTTTAGTGGAAAAATCTAAGATCGCTCATCATTGCTGGTCCGAAAATCATCGTATGAATTTTGAAGAGGCAAAAATTGTCCATAAGGAACCTCATTTTTTCAAACGTAAACTCATTGAAGCCTCATACATTAAATTAGCAGACCAACCAATCAGTCAGTCATCGGTTGAAATAAGGCCACTTTGGCTACCCATTTTGAACAAGGAACTAAAGGATAGGGAACTTAATTGTTCAATAAATAGGGAAATAACGAGTTCTCCTCAAAATTCGCACGTTATGTTAACTCGTAGTAAAACTCGTGATATGAATAAACATAATTAACACCCATCTTGCGGCATCGTACATCGCTCCGCCATTTTGTTGGTTTTACTTTTCCAGGGACCGGAAGCCATTTCTGTTGTCTCCGTGTTTCCGATTGGTCAGCCATGTTGGTTCAGTCTCATTGGTGGAGTCATAGCGTACGGTGTTGTTAGTGTTCCATTGTGTGAGTTTTTTGTACGTAAACCTTTTATAGATTATAGTGTTTTGTGATTTGTTATTAATTGCATGTTGTATCATGACTTGACTGCTATACAGTGCATATTTTTTGACTACTACCCTCGGTAGTGTATTCCAACTTAGGTTGGGCGTTTGTGTATTGTTAGTTGTAATGTGTTAGTTAAGTTTTTTCACCTGAAGACGGGATCAGATTCCAGATCCCGAAACGTTGTGTATTGTTTTTTTTACATTCGTGATGGAAAATGTCCGCAATAAACCTTTGAACAACATTAACTCACCATCACCAACAATGAACTTCAAACAAAGAATCAGTCATTTGTCTTAAAGTGTTTTTTTTTTTCAAAATTGTTTAGCGCTTTAAATAGTTTTGAAACTTGATAAAGGCAGGTTCTGCAATAAGCTCAACTGCTGTGTTTGCCATCAAACCGAACTCTACTGATTGGTATTAGAATTCACACTATAACAGTCCTTACTCACTTTTCAAAGCATCTTCCCTCCCTTTCTCATAGTCATCTATGATTTTCTCAGGGTTCATGTAGCGTATAGTGCGATACAAACAATCCTCCCTGTTTTTGAACATTTCATACTCCACCTTTGGCACTTTATACTCATAGTCCTCATAAGTTGTCACTCGACACACCAAACCGTCTTCATGCAAGTATGGAGCAAACTTCTCCACTCGGGCCTTTTTGTAGTTAGTGCACTTGTGCCCTAACGGATAACGTTGCTCATAACCTGTAACATTTACAATGGAGACTATATTTGTCCATTAAAGTTTATCTCATATCAAGGCTAATGTTTGGGAAACAAAATTTGTTTGTGTACATTTTCTAGGTCGTTGTCATTTGGATCCCACCATAAAGTAAACTAACTCTTGGTTATTATTGCAAATGCTACAACATAAATGATTTGTAGATGTTTTAAGTCCAGTTCATCCCAATTCCAGTATTCAACTGGCTTAACGGAGCAATTTTTTTAATTAATAATAATTTCTTTATTGGCTTTTAATTGTTATTGTTTATTCTTTAAAATCATCTGATCCTTTCTAAATTGTTACAACAATGTAAGACAGCTGGTTTTCCCTAACAACATTTAGTTTTTTTACTAGATGGTAAATGTATTACGGTACCATCTATTTTTACCTTAACTATTGAGATCTGTTTAAGGTTACGTAATGTTCTCTGTATCAGATGATTTTAATGAATAAACAATAACGATTAAAAGCCAGTAAAGAAATGATGAATTATTTAAAAAATTAATAACTCAGCTGTTTGTTGTCCAATCTTTAAAATATATGTGTCATTTGATTTGACATAAAATTTCCTACATTTTGTTATTCTTGTGTTTTTTTTGTAACTCTAGTGGTTTTCATGTAATTTGAGGTCAAAGATTTTAGATGGCCGCCATTTTGAAACGGCTATAGTCAACGAAATTAAATTTTGCATGTTTGTGTACCACGTTAAAATACACAAGTGTGTCAAATTTAAAGTTTGTACCTCGAGTCAAACTCGAGTTATAAGGTTATTTATAAAAAACACATACAGACAGACAGACGGAAAACGAAACTCCGGCGACCCATGTTTATAATGTAAAATATTCATGTATTAACCCAAGGAATAATCCTGTGAATTTTTCGAGAGAGTTCACAAACACACTGCATAAACCTATTCTTATCTCAAAAGCCCCTTCCGGGTCCGCCCCGGTGGCCCTGGAATTTCCCATGTTAACCTTATGAGTATTCAAACTAGGGGTGCCCACAAGGGGGTTTGATGTCGCAACTTGCGACATCAGCAAATCTTTTGGGAGGATTTGATGATTTTGGGGGGGGATTCAAGCCAGTGGTTGGTTAGAAGCATATAAAAGATCAATCAGATAATTTTTACGACCTTCTTAATTAATTACTGGGGTAATTATGCAATCAAAATCCCATTTGACATTTTATCTTGATAAATAAATAAGTTTATAATGACAATAAAATATATAAATATGTTTATGTGGATTTCCACTTTCTGACTCGTATAATTTTTGACAATGAGAACAACTCCATGCCAACTGCTGTCAAAGGATTATTATTGGCTTAGTAAATTTTATCTAGCAGTTTAGTTTGTTTTTACCGTTCATTCCGTCTCGAATAATCTTATTGCCTTTTAGGACCTATTGATGGTTGTTTAGGTTTGTTTATTATGATATATACTTTTGATTCATAGAAACCAGTACATGAACAACATGAAAACTTGTGATGTCCCTCAAGAAGTATATTGGCTCTCCTAAATATTCATGCCTGGGACATTTGATTCATTGGAAGAAATTGACATACTGTGACAATTTAATTAAGCTTTTTGATAGGCTATATGTGTTTACGTTAACTTTATGAATGAAAAAAATATCATTCTGGGTTAACACGTTCGCTACTGCAATAGTACAAAATTTTTCATTCGCATGGACCAGCAACGCACATATGCGATGGCCGGTTTCCACCCCTAGACTGCCGTCGCATATATGCGGCGGCTAGTCACATTAAAATAGACTGCCGTCGCATATTTGCGTCGGGGTTCTATTGTTATTAAAATGCTTATATCTTTGTAACGGTCTATTTGAAGGCACTGGATTCCCTTCAGTGGTCTACAGAGATGTCTGACACACAACTGCGTCGCTTGGTCTGTGGATATGATTATTGGTGACGTCATATGATAGTTGGAAAAACTGGTCTTTACTTTCCTGCATCACTGTATGTATGTATGCTGCATTATCCTATGTAGCTTTTATATTTGTTCAGTTATAAACTGTTCTTGAATAATCTGGTTTTTTTTTTACTTACTTTCACCTTAAAACACAAACAAAAATGAACTGTCGCATATATGCGACGTTTGGTCTATTTCAAGAAAACTATGATAATTTTCACTATATTGTCTTTGCTGTAGACCGGGCGTCGCAAATATGCGACATTACAAAAGGTTATAAAAAATACAAAAAAACAAGAATAAATTATTTACAAACACGATTGTAGCGTATTAAATGTAAATTATCACTGTTTTACAGGTTTTCGCCCGTGGTCTGTGTGTACTGTTAACCAAGTGACAGCCGGTCTGTGTGTAAGATTCAAATGTATACCTCGGTCTGTGGCAATGACCGTGGCGTCGCATACAGTATATGCGACGCTCAGTAGCGAACGTGTTAATCAAATTGTATTTGTATTATTGTCCTTTCTTGATTTTAGAAAGAGCTTTAAACAAATTTAATTATTCTTAAAATAGATGTAAAATTAATTTTAAAGTTATAATATAGTAATATTTTTGGAACTTTTTTGAATATTTTACACTCTTTTAAGAAAGATCAAACTCAGAAGTGTATTATTAAGGGGCAATATAGGTAAATATCTCAAACTTTTTGACATAACTTTTACTAACTCCCCCTGCAAGTTAATATGCTGAAATAATTGTTTGTGTAAAAATTTTTGAGTTTGAGTTTTGGGTGGATATATCCGTTTTGGGTCCCTCTAATCACAAAAAAAATTTTCTGTATGTGTGGATGTGTACAGAGCTACAGACCACACCTGTGGTCCGGGTCCGATTTAGATGAAATTTGGTATGTAGGTTAGGTACTTATCCGTGGTCTCTCCAGGTGTTTTTCATTTGCATTTTTAATGGTGATTTTCCATAAAAATCCATAAAATAATGGACAAATAAAATTTTCTCAGAATTGTCTGAGCGATTTTGATTAAAAATTAACATGTTATACTCTTTGACTCTGAACAAAATGGTATAACAATTATTTCTGTACAAATTACAGTTCAAAGTAATTGCAACTTTTGTGATTTTCTCTTTTAAAAACCTATCAATTGATGGAAAAACGGATTTAAAAAAAACGACTTGGCCAATTTTGATTCAAATGTGTGTATGTTATAGTCTTTATTTAACTCCAAACAAAATTACACAAGCCCTTTTGCTGTAAAAATTACGGTTTAAAGGTTATTGCATTTTTTTGTGATCTTCCCAATTTATCAAAGTTACTCTCACTGCTTATACAATCCATCTGCCATGCTAAGGGTTGTGACAAGCTAACAGGAGAAAGTATGTGTCAGATTGCTGGTGGTGTTTATTTTTCTCTTTGTGGGTAAAATCTATACCCCTTAACTAACTTGACTAATTTACTATAGACCTACTTTATTTTACTTGTTTTATGAATTAAGGTAAAGTAATTTTACTGAAAATGCAATAAGATCATTCTACTAATAAATTATTAATTTTTAAACTAGGCGTGATGCAAATGATAGTATAGTTATTCAGTGGGCAAAGGCAGTTTGCATTCGCGTTACACATTATATTTTTCCTACAGTTACATACTATATAGCATAACAATAATTAGTCTTTCAAACACAGTACAACTTGTTTTTAGGTTAGGTTAAATCCAAATATTGAACGAAATGGGAAACGCTGCACCAGCTGATCGTAGTTATAGTACTGTATCTTAACCCTTCCCAGGCTATGGACGGATTCTTCAATTTGTTTACTTTCCGGGCTGAAAACGGATATATCCGTCCCGAGAAATTTCTTTTCTGGGATAGAGACGGATATATCCGTCCAAGAAACAAATTTATATACAATGTTTTTAATACGATAATAAACATTACACTGCATTATAAATGGGTTATTTTGTTTTTGTGGTTGGCAATAATAATTGCCGCAGCTGTTTCGGCTATTTTGCACCATAGAGTGTGCGTAAGTAAATATTGCTGTCACTTCACATGTGGTTGTTAGTGAGTGATGTTTACATTTTGTGTTTTGTACTTTATTTTTATGTTATTGAGCCAAAAGTTACTAATGAGTTACTAAGAGATGCTTAATAAAAGTATGTCTGAGAGGGGTTTTATACTTGGCAGTGAAAATAGTATGGAATGTGATGGATATGATGAACCTGAAGAACAGTCTTTACGTAGTGGAAGTCTTGGCGGGGAATGGGATTGATCCTCAATCCCATTCCCCGCCAAGACTTTGCGCGGAACTGAGTGGTTTAGATTTACTTCAGAATGATAGATACATTTTTATGGATAAAAAATAAAACAAGGAAAGGAATAGCCTAAGGTTGACGGATATATCGGTCTGCCGCCCACAAGAATACTCAAGATTATTGGCAGTGTTCATATTTTGTGATCATAACTGAGGGCGGCAGACGGATATATCCGTCCACCTTATGTTTTTTGTGGGCCAAAGACGGATATATCCGTCAAATCAAATTTTATTTTCTTCATAATTTTGTACAAAAATTAGTTCAGCCCTAAGGAAAATCTTTTTATGATCCATGAATTATTTCAAGTGAAATAAATACAAAACACAACCACTTTAGTTTTTAATTTTTGGCAAAAAATAATTAAGCTCCAGCCCTTCACTTAATTTAGCCCTGAAAGGGTTAAAGTGTTGCCAACCTTTTTCCAAGCGTACACGGATATTACATGCATAATAAAAGTATGCTATTTTGTGTTGTTTGGTTGGAATACTGGTGTGTGACAAAGTAAAAACTGTGTGACAAAGTAAAAACAAAAAGTGTGCGCCAAAGTAAGTATTGCAAATACAGCAATTAGCACCTTTCTGTAATCAGTTCAAGGAAGACCACTTTGTCGGGTGACTGTAGGAAAAAAGAATTTTCAGTTGGTGCTCTGCTATTTAATTTGTAATGGCCAATGGGGCTTAAATGTGAGTATGTGTTTTGGGACTTCTGAATTATTATGCTGGATTTCAAATCGATGACATCAACAAGCAATTATGAATTATTTGGCGTCAATAATATACATTGCATCAGCCTGATGTTAGAGTAGAGAACTTAATTTAAAGACAATAAACCATCAAAAAATTGCTTCAACAAAAACAAAGCTAAAGACATGCATAACTCAGATAAGTATATTTCGGAATACTTACTTTCTTCTTGAGAATACACTTGTTAAATGTGGCTTTTCTCTTTAGTGATGTATTACAGTGGTAATATCATACCTCATGATGTATTTCACAAATAAGTATAGGGTTTTGGTAAACAAGCATGTATTTTTACATGATAAAGAAATATCTGGATTTAATCATCTAACTTACGACTGTGCGGGATATCTAGCCGCTGTACCCATGATGGAGGTATATCCAGATGTTTCTCCAACAGAATAGTCTCCCGTTCGTCCAAGTCAATCTCCTTGGCCACCTCCTGACATTCCCAAGGCTCTCCAGCCAACAGATGCTCCCAACAGCTGACGTCCTCCAGGTCAAACTTCAACTCCTGCAATCAGGTGGGACAAATGTGAAACATACAAACAAAAAAAAAAGGTTTCTTTGTGAAGTAGAGAGCTAATGTGAACAAACTGTACTATTCCATTAATAAATATCACTCAGGGAAGATAGTAAGAAAGGAACAAAAAACTATACCACACAACTTTTCCCCTTACTCTCCCACTATTGTAGTCAAGTATAAAATTAGATCTAACTTAACAGCAATTTTCAGATGACTAAAAATAAAAGATAGCAACAGGGCAAGGTAAGAGTTCTCATTTGCATGTGCATTCCACTCACTTTAAATAATTCCATCCATAGTAGAAAATCCTTTGTTGAAAGATTGGACTGATAAATCAATATAAAGAATGAGCATTTTACATTAAATAGACTGTTAATTGATCCTTAGTTTCTTGATTATTTTATTTTCACACTGTTAATTATTTATGAGAACCTATTTTCATGGTACTTGCCCTTGAGGTAGTAAGATCATGCCTTGTAAAATTTTTGCTGGATTTTGATTTTATCTATATATTAATACGCAAGCATTTTTCTTTAAAACCTTTTTGTCTCAGCTCGTGTGCGTAGCAGGGACAATCTACGCATACTGTTAGAAAGATATTTGCCTGTAGATGTGCAGAATACCTCTATAAACTAAAATAGGCTAAAAAATAAACACAAATAGTTAATTTAAAATTTTAAAAAAATTAACATATGGGCCTTATGGGTTGCTATGCTGGTAACGAAACATAAACAGAAAATCAATCTTATATATTTAAAAAAATTTTGTTTTTCTTTTCCAAGTTCGTTTGGCTCTTCTACGCGACCGATTCTCATGATTGAGGTCTCAAATCGAAGGTACGCACGCACAGATTTGCCATCAAGCATTGGCAAATATTTATCTATAATCCCACTCGGCTTATAAGTAAACGAAATTTGCTCCCCATGTATTTCTTATGGGAGTTAGATTGGGTTTTTCTTTTCCGAGTTCGTTTTGGCTCTTCTACCCGACCGATTCTCATGATTGAGGTCTCAAATCGAAGGTATGCACGCACAGATTTGCCATCAAGCATCAGCATATATTTATCCATAATCACACTCGGCTGATACGTAAACGAAATTTGCTCCCCATGTATTTCTTACGAGAGTTAGATTGGGTTTCTCTTTTTTGAATTTGTTTGGCTCTTCTACCTGACCGATTTTCATAATTGAGGTCTCAAACCGAAGGTAGCACGACCAAAAATACATAAACATAATTTGATTCATTTTCAAATTCTTACTTTAATTTAAAATGTATTTCACCAGTTATAATTATATAATCCTATACATTTTGGACTAAGAACCTTCAGTGAAATACCGGCTTTCATTGAAGCTATACATTATTCAAATCAGACGAGTTTCAAACAAACGCAAGGTGAACAACCAACATAAAAATTATTTTTTTATAGGGGTTTTCTATGAGTAAAAATCAATAGCTCCAGTATTGTTCATGTTTTTATATGTTTTAGATTCAAAATAATCAGTTAATTATAGGCTTTAATTTGAGCTATTGATCGTTTGAATAAGTTAAGCTCAAGATTACTCAATTATTAGCTCAATTATTACTCAATCAAAAATCATAAATTTGATTATTTCTCGAATATTATATTTATTTTAGCGCTGCGGAGCAGCATGGGCCCTCTAGTACAAATGAAAGAAATTCTAATCACATGTTTCATTTACAGCGTGAGGTGAAAATAGAAAAGTCTGTACATTACATATTTTTGGTTGAGTTTTCAACCATTGGACGATCTCTAGTCACTATAAAAAGATAAACACTTTTTTACACATTAGACCCCAGTATGTGATGGATAAAGTTTTGATAATTCATATTGAAAACACTGGACACTTAATGAAATGTGCAGTGTGACATATGGTCACAGACTTGCTTCTGAGTGAGCCTGCAACTCTCAGTCCACAACCGGGCAACACTAACTCTGTTTTTTTTAAATAACTTGGCACTTTCTGTAAATTATTGAAATTCAGAACGAGTAAAATTGTTTGCATCCTTTACAACAAACGTTAACTTTATATTGACAAGGTCATTTCAGTGTCAAAAGTTTCCCATCTCTTTCATCCACATTTGTAGTCATGAAAATGTCTGGAACCACTTTCCAGTGGATGTTGAGCAAATTTACCTAAAAGGAAAAGTATTACACTGTAGGTGGGCACGGTAAGACCCAAACCTGGGACCAATTTTCTTTTAGCAAATTTCCCATATAGGGAATAAGCTATTACCATAGTACTCATGGTAAGACCTGGACCCAGGACCGATTTAATTTTTCATTTTGAGGTCCCTAGAGAGGCCAAAAACACCATCCGTTCAAATTCATATCTTACTAATATTATAAATCTGAAAGTTTGTGAGTTTGTGGATACTCAGTGGTAGTATGTGAGTTTGTGGTACCTACCTGGAAAAGGTTGGCAGCACTGGAGCAGACTGAGAACATCACCTAGTACAGCTAAGTTTTAAATATAAGTTTTTTACAAAATAAGTGCAGTTTGTTAGTGCTAAAACTTTTCTAAATTTCTCCATAAAGTGTTTTAAAGACAAATTAGAAATACAAAATAGTTTCAATAGTGATAATAGTCGAGAAAATAGATAAAACAGTAGCCGGTATCGATCCACCATTGATTGATGCAACTTGACCGTGACACAACCACCTCAAATTTTCAACTTGTTAAAAAATCCCAACATAATGGCTATAATAGGGATCACGAAATAAAGCTAATCAGTGGACGACACTACAACTTCACTCCAGTACCACGCACCCCAATCCAATCCAATAGGACAACTGAAACTGGAAACAGCAGAAAATCACCACTCCACTCCAATCACACAAACACATACACTCAAACTCACTCAAACAGCTCAAGCTAAGGACAGGACAGGGAAAACAAACAAACATAACCTGCAACATCAAACCTCCAGCCCTAACCCAAACCTAGAAACACCTGTCAACCCCCAACACTACCAAAGACCAACCACCTTACCAAAGATCTCTTACCCAACCAAACCTAGAATAAGATGACTGGGAGTAATGACTCTACACCACTATGTGCTACATGTAAACTAGATATAAGAAATGATGACAAAGCCATTGAATGTGACTGCTCAGTGTGGTACCACATTAAGTGTGTAAATGTAACGGACAAGCAGTACAAAGGCATGATCAATGACAAACTTCTATTTAACTGGATGTGTAAGGACTGCTACAACAAACTTAGACCTGCGGTGAGAAATGACAATGGACCTTGCAACTCTGGGCTAGGCCCAACCCCGGGAAAAAGCGACCTAATTCCCAAAGCCTCAAGCCCACAAGAAGACACGCCCAATGAAACAAAACCTGACCAAATGAAAAAATTGTAGAACTCTTAATGGAGGATATTAGAACACTACCAGTACAAAAACAATTACAGGTTAAAAAAAAAAAAAATGACAAACTCTCCGATATAGTGGCCATCAAGATGGAGGTTATAATGAAGATGGAAGAGACTATCCGAGAACTGATCAACAGCACAGCCAGCCACCTGAGCACCTACGACCATTTAAAACAACCCGATTTAAACTCTCACCCTCCAAACACAATAGAACTAATGAAGAAAACCTGTTCTGCCCAACCTAACTGTTATGAACATATGTAGTTGTTACCATAGCAACCAAAAATGTTTATTATCAAATGCTGTTTACTATTCTATTCTGATCTTTAATATAACACAGTTACTTCTATTTCAACAACTGTCAACTCTGTCTTTTTATATTCTAATATTCCACTCGAAAGTCATCTCAGTTGGCGACGATTTGGTAAAAAACTATTATCAATTCTTGTTTTATTCTATTTATTTTCAAGATATTTTATTTTGTTAAACATGAATGAAGAACAATTTGAAAGACTCATGAATGTTTTGGCTGAAGCTCTAGGTAATAAAACTTCAACTCCTCAGATCAATCCTTTTGAACATTTTGATCCAAATAATGATAAATTCAAATCATATTTGGAACGTTTTGAAAATTATTGCAATTTGAAGAACATTAAAGAAGACAAGATGAAAGCTCAACTCCTGTGCTCATCCATTGGTAAGGAACATTACAATAATCTGACTACTCTTTTGGGCCCAGACAATCCTGTAAAAGACCTTAATTTTTCAAAATTAATCGAACATTTCACAATGATGTTGTCACCCACAGTATCTCATATTGTTGCACAACACTATTTCCTCAGTAATTCACAACAGTTGCATCAATCTATCTCTGATTTTGTCACAGTCCTGAAAGGTAACCTGAATGATTGTAATTTTTACACTTCTTGCAATGAATGTGAAAGTAAAATTTCAATTGCTGATGAATTTCTCCGCCCTCAATTTATTAGAGGACTAAAAGACAATTGGATACGTGAACAACTACTACAAGACACTAATCTCAACAGTTTTGACTCACTCCTCAAGAAAGCAATTGCCCTAGAAGCTTCCCGCTATGAATCAAATAAAATTTGTAATCCTGTCACACAATCATCAAGTGAAAATTCGGATACACACAAAATTGATAGGCATTCAAGGTCTAAGACAAAGGAATATCAAAGTTTCAAGCAATTTAAGACACACAAATATGATGACCGCGGTTCCAATAGATCTCAATCACAACATTTCCGTAACAAAAGCTTAAAAAGACACGTTGACTACAAAGCTTTGGGTATTGATGGACTTTGTTTCAAATGTGGTCGATCAAACCATCAGTCTAATGAATGCAAAACTAATCGGAATTATCTTAAATGCACTTCCTGTGGAAAACAAGGCCACGTATCAAAAGTGTGTATAACGTCTCGACTAAAGAGCTCTAAAACAAACACCCTGTTGTCTCACTACACAGAAGATGAATCCAGTCACCCAGATGAGTATGGAATCACACAAATCAACGATGTGGAAGATCTTTACATAGTAGGACCAGACTCAGACAAATACATGGTTACAGTC